TAGTGTCTGCTTATTTTCCATTGTGAATGTGTAACTGGAAGGGCTGTAAAGAAAATGTCCCTGGAAAGACGTTGCTTTGGATATCCCTGCAGGGAATATACAAGCCTGTCCATGTGGAACTACACCGTCCCAAAGCCGAAAGTACCTGTACCTTTAAGAAGAAAAACAAAGGCTTTACTGTTGATTTTCCAAAATGTTTGTTAAAAAATAATTATTATTTTTTTTAATGGGGTGGCAGAGAAATAACCCCCTTAGCCTTCCCTCTCCCTGCTACAGAACTGCTTGAAAATCCCTGAGACAGGAAGATAACATGACAATCTTCCTGGAAGTGACTGTAATGCAGCTGGAGGCTGAGGTCTTCTGGGAGCTGGCTGGAATCTGCCAGCTTTTTTTCATGGTGGGCCGGCTCAGGGGTGGCTCAATTGATACCATCAGCCCCAGAGAGCAGATGGCCCGGCTGTTCTTCCTGCAAGGCAAGTGGAACTGATGACTCCTGTGAGGGAGAAGAGGGGCTCAGCCCATCTGGTGAGAACAGCAGTGGATAAAGATGGCATATTCTTGCTTTCTGCTGCTGCTGCTTTTGTTGCTGTTGCTGCTTTTCCTGGCAGGACAGGTGGCACTGCCCAGCTGGTGAGAGTATTAACTTTCCTCACCCGACAGTAAGGAATGAATGAATGATAGTGACGTCGCCTCTCTACACGTGGAGTCAGATGGGGCTTCTTAAAGCCCACACTAAGAGGGCACTAGGCCTCATCAGCAACTCAAGTCACAAATAAATTTAACAGGAGGGTTCAAGGGAGAGCTTGTTTCTTCCGAACAATGGACTTTGCGTTCTCTAAGGAGGAATACTGGTGCTTTAAATGGATAGTGCGAATGTGGGAAGTCCATTAAATTTGCAGTGGAACTCGCATTACCAGGCATCCTCCTTCAGAAATGGAGAACAGCTTCTCTGACCAGATGCCTCCTAACAGGCTGTATAGTCCCATTTCATCCCACGAAAACATCATTAATAGCTCAGATTTCTTATGCCTGCAGTTACACTGGAAGACTGACTACCCAGGCTCTCTGGCTATATCAGCAGTAGGTGGGTGGGTGAGCAACACACAGCCTGATGGTCTTCTGCAGTCCCTGGGAGTCTGAGTTGTCCTTTCCCCCTTCCATTCTTCTTCCTGAAGGAGATAAATTTCCAGACCTCTGCCTTATACTATCAGAAAAAGGGACTGACCCTCCCTACCTACAACTGTCTGGTGTTTTCCTGTTCCATTGGCACGCTCTGCTGGCATGTTGAATGGGCAGTCTGCCCATGCCCCAACATGAGATATATGCTTTAAATATATCAGGCATTGCTGAATATATTAAAACAAAAAGGCAACTCAAAAGACACCTAAGGGTTGGGTTTTTAGCTCCCTACAGTGAGGGGGGAAAGTATTTGATCCCCTGCTAAATTTGCCCATTTGCCCTTTGGTGAAGAAATGACCAGTCCATAATTTTAATGGTAGGTTTATCGTAGCAGTGAGAAACAGAATAACAGCAGGGAAAAACCCCAGAAACCCAGAAGACAAAAGTCAGAGATTGATGTGCATTATAATGAGTGAAATAAGTATTTGACCCCCTATCAACCAGCCAGATGTCAGGCTACTTGGTGTCTTCACTGTATGTAACGAGCTGAGATTAGAAGCACCTGCTGTAAGGGAGAGGTCTTACCTGTAATCCCAGCTCGTTACAGTACCTGTACAAAAGACACCTGTCGACAGAAGCAAGCAATCCAGCAGATTCCAAAGTAGCCACCATGACCAAGACCAAAGAGCTGTCCAAGGATGTCAGGGACAAGATTGTAGACCTGCACAAGGCTGGACTGGGCTACAAGACTATTGCCAAGCAGCTTGGTGAGAAGGTGACAACAGTTGTGCAATAATTCACAAATGGAAGAAACACAAAATAACTGTCCACCTCCCTCGGTTTGGGGCTCCACGCAAGATCTCATCTTGTGGAATTGCAATGATCAGGAGAACGGTGATGAAGCAGCCCAGAACTACACGGGAGGAACTTGTCAATGATGTCAGGGCAGCTGGGACCATAGTCACCATGAAAACAGTTGGTAACACACTACGCCGTGAAGGACTGAGATCTTGCAAAGCCCGCAAGGTCCCCTTGCTCAAGACAGCACATGTACAGGCCCGTCTGCAGTTTGCCAATACACATCTGAATGACCCAGAGGAGAACTGGGTGAAAGTGTTGTGGTCAGATGAGACCAAAATTGAGTTCTTTGGCATCAGCTCAACTTGCCGTGTTTGGAGGAGGAGGAGTGCTGCCTATGACCCCAAGAACACCATCTCCACCGTCAAACATGGAGGGGGACATATTATGCTTTGGGGGTGTTTTTCTACTAAGGGGACAGGACACCTTCACCGCATCAAAGGGACGAAGGACGGGACCATGTATCGTCAAATCTTGGGTGAGCACCTCCTTCCCTCAACCAGGGCATTGAAAATTGGGTCAAGGATGGGTATTCCAGCATGACAATGACCCAAAACACACGGCCAAGGCAACAAAGGAGCTGCTCAGAAAGAAGCACATTAAGATCCTAGAGTGACCTAGCCAGTCTCCAGACCTTCATCCCATCGAAAATCTGTGGAGGGAGCTGAAGGTTTGAGTAGCTACACATCAGCCTCAAAATCTTACTGACTTGGAGAGGATCTGCAAAGAGGAGTGGGACAAAACACCTCCTGAGATGTGTGCAAACCTGGTGGCCACCTACAAGACCTCTGTAATTGCCAGCAAGGGTTTTGCCACCAAGTACTAAGTCATCTTTTGCAAAGGGATCAAATACTTATTTGACTCATTATAATGCACATCAATCTCTGACTTTTCTCTTCTGGGTTTCTGGGGGTTTTCCTGTTATTCTGTCTCTCACAGCTACAATAAACCTACCATTAAAATTATGGACCAGTCATTTCTTCGCCAGAGGGCAAACGGGCAAATTTAGCAGGGGATCAAATACTCCCTCCCCCCACGGTAGTTTCTAAGTCCATACATTGTGCCTTGTTTTCTTCTTCTTTTTTTAAGGCTGACATTTGAAAGTAATCGTTGACGTTCCCATAAAAAAAAATAAAAAATAGAAAGGCAATGCATTTGCCACCCCTTGCTTAGCATTTGCTTTATTTATAAATACAGCATGTGTCGTATGATGTCATCAAGTACGCAAAGAATCTACCACTCATTAGCTCTTCAGGTGAGATATTAAAGCATATGCTGTATTCTCAAATAGTCTCTCAAACACTCATACGTAGAAAGTGACAGATGAGATTTGATTCACGCCCCGCACTGTTGATACTGCTGTAACATGATGGGCGGGGGGAGGTTGGACAAAAGAAGGTTAATGGGCCAATATGGCAGAGTTGTTGTTTAGTTGTTTAGTCGTGTCCGACTCTTCGTGACCCCATGGACCAGAGCACGCCAGGCACTCCTGTCTTCCACTGCCTCCCGCAGTTTGGTCAAACTCATGCTGGTAGCTTCGAGAACACTGTCCAACCATCTCGTCCTCTGTCGTCCCCTTCTCCTTGTGCCCTCCATCTTTCCCAACATCAGGGTCTTTTCCAGGGAATCTTCTCTTCTCATTAGGTGGCCAAAGTGCTGGAGCCTCAGCTTCACGATCTGTCCTTCCAGTGAGCACTCAGGGCTGGTTTCCTTCAGAATGGATAGGTTTGATCTTCTTGCAGTCCATGGGACTCTCAAGAGTCTCCTCCAGCACCGTAACTGCAGCCAATATGTTGGCATGGGAACTGAATAGCTACCCAATTGCTTCTTGAGACAGGTTCATTTTGGAGATGTTCTAAAGAGGAAAACCATTTAGATAAGGGGGCAGACATGAGGTAATCCAGGTGTCTGTGAAAAGAAATGGCAATTGGGGTCATAGAACCAGAGAGATTGACATCTGAGTTTTGGGATCTGTGAGCATCCCAAGATGCCAACCGACTCTCTGGAGAGTGGATGGGAAAGCAGTGGCTTGTCAACTGTTTATTTAAGCTATGTATCCACCTATGGCCAGCCTGTATATTTGTAAGTAACTTCAAATGTGGGGGAAAATGGCACTAAACCTCCAGATACCTCCTTCCAAAGAAAACTCCTTCCAAAGAAAGCCAAACGCTAATAATAATAATAATAATAATAATAATAATAATAATATGATGTATACCTGCCCATCTGGCTAGATTTCCCCAGCCACTTTAGGTGGCTTCCAACAAAAGATTAAAAATCCATTAAAACATCAGTCATTAAAAACTTCCCTAAACAGGGCTGCCTTCAGATGTCTTCTAAACGTCAGATAGTTGTTTATTTCTTTGACATCTCATGGGAGGGCATTCCACAGGGTGGGCGCCACCACCGAGAAGGCCCTCTGCTTCTCACTGCTCGAAGTGGATGTAACACACAAAATAATTTGTTTGATAATATTAAAACAAAACAAAGGGGAAGCGGTTCTGCTACTATTTCTGAACAGCAAGGGAGGAAAAGGGGGCTTGTTTCATATTTGCACTCGCAATTCTGGGAGAAGGAGGGTCAAAAGAAGCAAAATGGAATCAGATAAGAATAATGTCTGCATCAGGGCTGTGGGAGTTGTGCAACCTTGGCTGATGTGCATTGAAAGGCTGTTTACCGGGCTAGGCCAAGGCTGTAGGAATATATGCCACTGCCAGGAAAGAGGAATGAAAATGAAGGACATTTAAATGTGGTTCAATAACGTTCACCATTAAATCATCAAAGCTTTAAGGCTGTCATGCCATTGAGGTTATAGTCATCTCAACAATTTCCCTTCCCTTCTGATTGTTGCTCATATAACATTTATATTTGAAATTGCTTTCATTTGTGATGAAAGGAAAGAGCTGCCCAGTTCTGCAGTGAGTCAGACTGCATGCTGGCGCTTACTGTACAGCAAGCAGAAGGTCCACTAAAAGGGGGCACAGAGGGATGAAGGGGGCTACCCAGTCTTACCCAGCCCTACCTGAAAATGCAGGGGATTGAACCAGAGACCTTCCACATGCAAGGCAGATGTTCTGCCACTGAGCTACGTCCCGTTTAGGTAGAAGACATTTAGGAATGAAGTGTTGGAGGAATGTAAGAAAGTGAAAAGCTTCTGGGAAATGATATATAATGAGATGAAAAAGATGTTGAAATATATATTTATTTAAAAAAACAGAAGCATTTTTACTTGGCATTGTAGGGGAGGACATTAACAGACAGGACAATAAATTGTTTTTATATGCAACAACAGCAGCAAGAATATTATTGGCACAAAAATGGAAACAAGAAGAATTACCGACGAAAGAAGAGTGGCAAATGAAATTAATGGACTATGCAGAATTTGATAAGATGACAGGAAGGATTCGAAACCTGCGGGACCAGAGATTCTTAGAGGACTAAATATAGAGTAAATATTTGAATTATTTGAAAAGCAATTGTAAGAAACAGATTACACTAGTAGGACTGCAAGAAGTTTTGTAAGGAGGATTATGCAAAATATTGCAAGGAAGACTATGAAGAGAGTTATTAGTTAAGGACAATTAAAAGTAATAGAGAAATTAAGAAATGTAGACTAAGTGATAAAGACTGAAAGATCTTCAGATGCGGTTGATGGAAGTCCAAAACATTGTATAAGATAAGAAAATACGTTAAATGACTGTTGAAAATGATTTGTTGAGAGAGAGAGAGAGAGAGAGAGAGAGAGAGAGGAATGAAGTGTTGGAATACTGGAAGCCAAGATGCAAGTTTGGGGCAAGCACTCTTTGGTGAGAGGACCACAGCAAAGATGTTATGCCTCAAAACATGCAGCAAAGAAAAGCGTGGAAATATAGGCCATAAAACATTAAAAACGTTCCTGTCTTGTGAGTCCCCAAATGTCCCCTTTTAAAAAGCTCTTTCCAAGCTATCCCACTTCCTTAGCATTTAGCCAAATCACACACTTGGTAAGCCATAAAATGGTTTACTTTCAAAGCTCTTTCAACAGGTCAGATTCATGTGCATTTCTATACAGCAGACAGAAAGGATGCACAGGCAGTTAACGCGTTTCCTAGTTACAAAAAGCTAAAAGTTTCTAAACTATTGGTAGAGGACAACACTAGTTTCAGACTCTTTTCTGGTCTGAAACAAAAGAGGTTGCTTCAAGTCATGTGCTGGAGCAACCAGCTCAGAGCTCCTTACATATTGAAGTCCACATAGAGAGGGAGAGATAGCAAAGGCTTGGTGAAGCTTTTGTTCTCAAGGTGGGACATGATTGCGTAGGGTAAGCCTGGCAGGACAGCTTACTCTATGGTTTAAACCCTTCATGCACTGATTAGATTCAAACATGCTTGGGTTAGATGAGGAACCCTGCATACAGGAGGACTTTATCTTCAGCAGAACTACAGGATGAAGTGGAGAAGGGCTATAGCTCAGTAGTACAGCACATACTCTGCAGATCCAAAGTTCTGTCCCTGGCATTTCCTGGTAGGACTGGGAAGTTTCCTTGCCTGAAACTCTGGAGAGTCTCTGACAGTCAGTATAGAGACAATATTGAGTTTGATGGACGCGTTCTAAAGCAACTTTCTTTGTTCTGTGAGTCCCACAGCTGCTTGTGGAAGGGCATACCCTCCAACATTTCTCCGATGAAAACAGGGGCCTCCCATTCCATAATGATAATTTTATACCCCACACATCTTACTCCAGCCACTCTGGGCAGCTTCCAACATATATAAAAGCATAATAAACCATTAAACATTATTTTTTTAAAAAAACTTCCCAAAGCCTTCAGACAGCTTGGGGGCGGGGGCAGATAACTCCATACCCTCCAACATTTCTCCAATGAAAATAGGGGCGTCCTAAGGAAAAGCGGGACATTCCAAGATCAAATCAGAAACTGGGACGGCTTCTCTAAATCAGGGATGTCCCTGGGAAACCAGGGCATTTGGAGGGTCTGGAAGGGCTGCTTATGGAGAGAGGAGATCAGCAGAATAAATCTGGAAGGGCATGGGAAGAATGCAAAGGGCAACTAGCTTATTCCCTTGGGCGAAACACCTCTTAGCACCTTGAAAGAGTCTCTGCCACAGATCAGGTCCTCCCTTAAAGAGGGCATGTGTTGCGGTGAGACCTGGCAACCTAACCCTGTGTTGTGGGTGGGTACATTTGGATAGCCACAACACCCAGTTGGTAGGTCCCTTGATGCAGGGTTCAATCAAGCCAATGGGATGCAGGCTAAATGGATCAAGGGACCTATATATACCTATGCACGTGACCCAGAGCTGCTTCTTTCGGCTTGTCCATTGGAACACCCGCCCACCTCTCCCTATATTTAGAGCTTGTGTGCTTCACCTTGCTATGCCATCGTGTGTCGTCTGTTGTTGGGACAGGGGCACGGCAGGAATTTCCCCACTTGGCTGATTGGCTGGTGCCATTTGGGTTTCGCCTGCCGCGTAGCAAATCGTCACAACTTGTAAGGTTGCGGATAGGCTCTGGTTCAGGTGATAGGGATGGGAGGGATGCCATCCCTATGTGAAGGGTATTCCGTTAAAGGAATCCAGGGACTCGATGGTTTGGTCAACCCCTGAGAGGGGGTTGTGCCCATGCCTGAGTCCAGGGGGGCATTTGGGTGGCAGAGATAGCCTGTTCCTGGCTTTCCGTTTATCCAGGTATTCACCCTAGGCTGACCTATGCTGGTGCCCTGGGTCAGCGCTACCTGCAATGGTGCAGGGAGCTAGTCGAACCAGAGCCTATGCAACCACTCACTTGCTGTAATCAATAAAGTTGTGGCCTAAATTCTGCCAAAAACCAAACCAAAATTTGAGTCTTGTCTGAATTTATTTAAGGGGGAGGTTTAAAGATCTAAACACACAATACGCACTGAAGCCTTGTGAAAACTTTAAATTTTGACATATTTCTCAAAGGTTTCCTTTAATGTTTTATGAGATGGTGTTCAAACTCTGAAAGTAACCCAGTTTCCACACACAAAGCTACATTTCCAAAGCTGAAAAGTTACGCTGGATTTGAAGCCATTCACTCTGGCCGGGCCTAACCGTTCCCAATTTGACAAATTGATCAGATTTCCAGCGCGAGCATTCTGCTCCTATTTCTGGGCACTAGCATTTCACTGACCCTTAAAAAGAGAAAAGAAGGCGTCAGGGAGCTAGAGGAAGCCTTAGAGCAAATTAGCCAGTTAGCCATTGTTAGCGAAAACACAAAAATCTCCACGATGGGGGCAGTATCTAATTAGTCCTTCCCTGTAAACAGATTGTAAAGGAATTACATTCACCCATTTTCTACCACAGATGAAATTGTCGGTACAGAGGAACTGAGTGATGTCTGAATTAAATGAACAACAAGAGAGACAAACTGGCTGGTGAACTAACATTGCTAATGAGCAATTATAGGTGGAACTTTTTTTCTGCCTAAAGCACCCTCCCAAGCACTTTATCTTTAATGAGGCATCGTTAAAATGTCTGGAAGGAGTGTGGCTGGTGAGCTATCATAGACGATTGTCAAGGCCACTGAACTCAGGCAGTCTGGCAAGCAATGTAGAATTTTATCAAACATATTCATACCCCCTGACAAAGTCATCTTTACCTTGCCTGTTCCTCAAGTCTGCTTATAGTTAACAGAGGCTGGAGACACCCAACTGGGTTTTAATCTGAAAAGAGAGTTGAAGGTGGTTTCAGAGAAGCGATAATTCTCTAATAACACACACACACACACACACACACACACACACACACTTTTCTGTTGTCCCACTGTCACCTTGAGTCAAGCAGGTTTTGTAGGTTTTGAAGCAGTACACAAACCTGCAAGACCTCTTCACCATACACACACTATGAGTAGCTCTCGCTGTCTCTCTAAAAATGCTATCAACCAGATGAACAAAGAAACCCAAACAGAGTGGTGCACTATCCTTGTATGTTTCGGAATACAATTCAGAGTATTGCTGCTGACCTTTAAAGCCCTAAACGGCTTTGACCCTGTATACCTGAAGGAACATCTCCACCTCCATCATTCAGCCCAGACACTGAGGTCCAGCTCTGAGGGCCTTCTGGCAGTTCCCTCACTGAGAGAAGAGAGGGCCTTCTCAGTAGTGGCACCCACCCTGCGGAATGCCCTCCCACCAGATGTCAAGAAAATAAACAACTATCTGACTTTTAGAAGACATCTGAAAGCAGCCCTGTTTAGGGAAGTTTTAAGTGTTTGACTGTTCTTAATGTGTTTTATTAGTTGGAAGCCACCTAGAGTGCCTGGAGCAACCCAATCAGATGGGCTGCATAAATCATCGTCGTCGTCATCGCAATACCCTCGTCTACCCTTTTTGGTCTCTTTCTTCTTTTTTCTGTATCTTCTACACCGTACCTGTTTTAAAAGTAAGTTTCGAAGTCTGGAATGAATATTTTAGCCAGTAAAGAGGGGTAAGATAGAATCTGACAGCCAATTAGTCTCTCTCATGTCTTTTCTTCCCTTTTTCTATTTTAATTCCCACCCCAAAAAAGTAATATTGAAGTTTGTTATGAATAAAGATGACTCAATGGCATTATATATGGCAAAGTTGAATAACCCATTTGAAAGAAGAGACATGCAAAACTTTCTGGAGGGGGGGGGGAAATGGACATAATCATAATGTATGCAAGAAACAAAGAGATACAAACCTTGAAAAATAGGAACAGATGAATTTGTCAATTTGTGTTGCTCTCAGTTTCTCGTTTTTCCACCCTTAAATTCAGTTCTCCAAATCTCCATTAGGGCTCAGGACCTCAATACCTCAAGGACCATCTCTGTCCATATAGACCTACCGGGATCCTTAGATCATCCTCTGAGACCCTTCTTCTTGTGCCCCTTCCACGAGAGGTTCAGAGGATGGCAACACAAGAACGGGCCTTTTCTGCGGTGGCTCCCCATTTGTGGAATGCCCCCTCAGAGAGGTTGAATGTCACCTTCATTCTACACCTTTAGGTGTTAGGCAGAAACATTCCTCTTCAACCAGGCCTTTGGCTAATTAATATCTTATATCCATTTAAAATGTGTTTGTGGGAGACGGGGTTGGGGGGGATATTTGTTTCTTGGGGG